TAATGATAATAATGATAATAATAATAATAAAGATAATAATGATGGCGATAATATTAAGATTTTTACCAATAAATGTTTTGTTCACATACATTGATTTTCTGATAACTTATTAATTTTTACCATTTATTTATTTTTGATATTAATTAAAAATCTGCATGTCGGTAGTGACATCTAGAATCAACTTCTTTACGTGAAAACCCTCAGATAATTACGAAAACGCTTGCATCCATTTCCGTAGCAGCAGGTTAGTCAGCCTCTTAAGCAACTTGCATTACACTGCTGCCACACTGGTTGCATCCAGTATTGGCCTAGAAGTAACCGTGCAACAGGAGTGCAGGCACACCTATGTCCTTTTGTCAATGAAAATACCGGATTGATAGAGAAAAATGCACTCAAAAGCATTCTAAATACTTTAATTACGTTATTGTAGATTTAATAATTTATTCAATTACAGTTCTAGACTTCATCGAGACAGTACTCTAAAACATAACTACGTACTGTGCTTAACACAGCCGATTAGGGCTAGTCCTTAATTTTTTATGATTCTGACAAGTTTTTAGATATCAAAACTATTGGCGAACCATCCTGCCTCAAAACCACAAAACATCTAACATCAAGAAACTTTACATCTCTACATTTCTGACAAACTGAAAGTAAACTAATGGTGCTACAACGGCACATACTTTCTCGCGTTATTATTAAATTTGTAATTTTCGAAAAATCAGTGTTCAAAGAAAATGCGATCTAAACCATTTTTGTAACCTTCCCCTGTTCTATCCGTGCAAAAATTAAAGACAAAATGAGGAGTGTTGTTTGAAAAAATATTTGCTCATAAACTGCAGTAAATTCAAGCACAAAATTACTCTTTTCTTCACAAAATTGTACGTGAGATTTTTAAAGAGCTGATTTTTTAGAGGCTCACCTGTAGGCTCCGAGCGGGAGTTTCGCGTGGGCGGGGCCCGGGCGGCGCCCTGCGCGCTCGCCGCCCCGCGGCCGCCTCTGCAACACACCACGCCAACACACCCCTTTCCATTTCTCTTCGAGAGGGATCGTAAGATAAAGAAATGGTAATTTCTCTGACAAGACAACATAGAGCTACTTTTTGTACGATTCATTGTTTATTTATTGTTATCTTTCTTATTTAATTATGTTGCTTAATTTATTTTTTGTTTATTTATTTATTTGCTTATTTGTTTATTTATTATTGCTATTTGTTTATTTATTATATTGCCTTATTTGTTTTTTATTTATTTGCTATTTGTTTTATTTATTTTGCTTATTTGTTTATTTATTTATTTGCTTTTATTTTATTTGCTTATTTAATTTATTTATTTAATTTATTTATTTATTTATTTATTTATTTGCTTATTATTTATTTATTTATTTATTTTATTTATTTATTTATTTATTATTTATTTACTTTATTTATTTATTTATTTATTTATTTATTATTTATTTATTTATTTATTATTTATTATATTTATTTATTTACTTTATTTTTATTTTTTATTTATTTTTATTATTTATTATTTATTTATTTCTTTATTTATTTATTTATTTATTTATTTATTTTTATTTATTTATTTATTATTTATTTATTTATTTTATTATTTATTTATTTATTATTTATTTATTTATCGTCGGTACTGCGAACTCTAGAACTCCCGGCAGCTACATTGCAGCGGCAATGGTCATTCTGACTAAGTGCAGGTGCGCCGCTTTCGGGCGGCGGGCGTTATTCTACGGGGTACGGTGGGAAGGCCGCGGCGTCCGGGAGCGGGGTGTCGGGGGCCGACCGCTGTATTGTTGGGGCGTGACTGCACCGAGCAGCGGGGAGGCGCCCAGGAAGCAGGTCAGCGGCGGGGCACGGAGTAAGGCGGCGGATGCTCGGCGGGGACGGCCCAGCGCCGCTCCGCCGCCGCCAGACCGCCCGCGCCGCCGTAGGTACATGGCGGCCGATGTTCTCCCTAGGCCACGGCCCTCACTCAACCCAACGAAAACACCACGAGGATCGTACTGAGATTAACCCATTTCTATTTCAAAATGAGAGTTCGTGTTTTTTGGGGCACATGACAATGTCAGTTACGGATCACCACATGTTAATGATGAAAAATCCAATATTTTATGATCATATTAAATATTATTTTTGTTAGTTTGATGATGATGGAGCTAACCTGATCAAACGTGCCTAAGAGATGCAATACAGGATTTGATAAAAATACTATAGATTGATTGGTCAGTATTAATGGCAAGGAAACTATAATTTTAACCAACACACGTTGGGACAATCATTACTTTCAAGAATTTAATTTACGCTCATGGTGTTGTAAGTTCGACAACCAATCTAACAGATCCGGATGTCCTGATCCGACAACCCGATCTGCATGTCCGCGTTCTGGATGTTGAGATTCTGGATGCACGATCTAGAATGTCCAGATCATGCAATATCTAGATCCGATGGCAGTCAAGTGTCGTCCGAATCTCTAGGTCTCGGATGTTTGCGAAACTTCATATTTACTTCGCCTTCGCATCGACCACTCTGCGAGTAATGAGTGATGTTGCAAGATGTGTGGGAAGATAGAGAAACAAAACCATAAAGAACAAAAAGGGTGCCTGTCCGACGACAATAGATCGTTGACGAGTGGCCGCAAATGCATGGATTGTACGGTAGAAGACACCTCACTGTGATGGAAACGAAGAGAGACGGATCAAAGAGCCGAAGGGCAAAATC